TTGTGAGAATATGATCTATTCCCCATTGTCTCCCTTCCTTTCTCAGATAAGAAATGCCACCCTTATACTCCCACAGAAATTGGCACTGGGCTGGAACTGGTGGATCAGCATGTTCTAATTTGTAAGATCATCCAATGTTCAAACTCATCCTCTTCATTCCCTCAGGGCGAGTGCACCCATATGCTGAATTGCGGGAGAATGACAATCCCTCCTTCTTCCCTTTCCCACTAGGAGCAAGGTGACATTTCCAAAAAGGCTGGATCCCTTTATCTCCATTGCTTTTTGTACTTGGGTACTTCTTTCTGATGTTCTTTCTGTGGAATAGTCAAAAAATCTACCATGAAGTATGATGAAGAGTTCAGCCTCATCTATTCCTCTAGTCACTACCCCCGGGATAGAAGAGGAAGAGATGAAGAGGGTTTCAGAACTAGCTGTCTCCAAGGATGGCAAGAGTCTACAGTTATAAACGTTTAGTTTGGGATACGACTGGTGGTTAAGATGCCTAAACTGAATTATCTGTATACGTGTAAACACGTGAGCTGAGTATCTAAGCTCCAATGTAATCAATAGGGATTTAGGAGCTCTATACAGTTGCCTACACATAGATAGCCATCACTGTCCTTTTGAGATGCTCTAGGACATACTGTGTGGCCTCCACCTGCAGCTCCATAAAGGCCTGGGCCTCCCATAGATCCAGAATCATATCTGCCATGCCTTATGTTGCAAGACATCCTAGGAAGTCTCAGATGGCTCTAGATGTCTAAGTTTCAGCAGCCAAATCAAGTTCCGGATCTTCATGGACTATAATGGAGTATAACCATCTAGTTCACAGGTAGACATCTAGTTGTCTTGTTCTGCACTAATCTCACTAAATGGTAGCTACTGTCTTTGTATTTTCTAGACTATATGGGAATTATGCAGGCTCTGTATTTTAGAAGACAAAGGAGTTTACAGTTGATGTGTAAACAGCTAACGTTATCTAATTTACTCTTGCAATCAATGTATACCGAAACTTTGGGTTGAGGGGGTTATTCAGTCCACAGTCTTACTGACTAATATACAAGCTGCTTATATGGTAGGTGTGCTTTGACATCTTGGGAAAACTGTCTCACTTCTCAAAGGACTTCCAGAACAAGGCTTTTCTTAATTTTCTTCACATAAAAATGAGTCCTCTGATGCCACCACCCCATGAGGATGGGTTACCTGGAATTTGGCTCCTCCACCACCATCACCCTGGCCTCCCACATGGAGTCCCTAGATAATGACTTCTTTTCTCTAATCCAGAAGACAGGGACTCTTGGTGGCATCCTATAAAAGCAAGGGGCCTTTCATTTTGTTATGTTCTTCCTCTCTCCCAAACCTGCAATAGTCTCTATTAATCAGAGGTCGTCTTGGTACAGCTTGAGTGACCAGAATACTCCGCTGCTGCTTTGTCCCTTTCCCTGCAATGGGAACCTGAAATCCTTGGAGGTAGAGCTGAACCAAATATCACCTGCTGGTTTTTCAGTTCTCTTGACTTATAAGGACTATGTAGATGACATTTTCTTCCACAGGTCTGCCCACCTTTTATGCGTATATCCCTCTTCAAGTAAAGTTGTCTTATTCCATGGTCCTAAGACAGTTAAGAACCCTTGAGGGAATGTTTCCTTCTCTTTGTCCGGGCCATTTTTTGATTTGATCGATAGCACATTGTACGCAGTAAAGTATGAAATTTATTTTTGTTCATGAATCTTCCTACTGTGATAAAATGCTTACACCCAGTTCAGTGTCAGTTAATGATAGGCCATTTATAAATTAATTCAAGTGTTGAAAAGGATAATTTATACTTAGGCTAAATAGGTCTAAGTACATGTTTTGAACTTTTTAAGGTTGTTACACATATTTCACCTGAGAAGAAAAGACTTCCTCTGGTTTTTTCCACATTAGGTCAACTCCTCTTTTGAAAGGCTATTCTTTCCATGACTTTGACTTCGCATAAAGAGGAATTCTGAATAAATTCTTGCTCTTGTTGAGGTATTTCTCTGCAGGCCTGCCATGTTTTGGGGACCTCTTCAAGGGCATTAAGTTACCAGACAGGCAAGGTGAATGTTAGTTTTCTCAGTTGAGATATGGTGTTTCTGCTTCTGTTCTAATTCCGGTAAACCTTAAATCATATATCACCATCAGAACCAGCCCCCTTCGGTTCTGTAGCCACAATTCCTGACATCTGAGTGATGGTGAGATGCTAAAGAGAAGTTTTACTTTCATTTAGAAAGTGGGGAGTTACATGCTAGCCTGAGGGAGCTATATAAACCAATTACTTGGGTGGAAAGGTTGTAAATGACTTTTTGTTTTCTACAGATCACAGACTGTTCCCAGCTATATACTGTTGGCTCTTGTGGTCAAGGGAAGATAGACACAGACCTCAGATATTTAGGGAAGACTCTAGATCAATTTTATGTTTGCAGGGAGCCGTGACATATGAGCTACCATGAATAGCACTAGGGCTGCTGTGAACTCCCAGCCAGCTGGCTGCAAGGCGGCCGAGCCAGCTTGTCTTCCCAGCAGCCCGTATAATGTCTGCACACCAGGAAGGACAGTTCGTTAGCTCAACAGGCAGCACAGCCAAGGGGATGGGACAAGGGACCAAGCCACTTCTTAGCATCGACTTCTCTGACCTTTGCCTCATTCTCTTTCTAACTTTTCTTAAATATTATCAATCAAGTTTTGCTTATTTTTATTTTTGCAAACTTGGGTGCTGAGAGGTAGGCACCTACCCTCACCCCCCTAATGTTCTGCAAACTCCATGGGCCACTTCTCACAACATAGCCCTTCATTCCTGTGCGTCATTCTTCATCTCTCTAAAACAGGGTAATGATGTTTAAATATCAGGTAGACGAGGATCTGGCAACCAAGTAGTTCTTCTATATGTATAAATCCAGAATCTCGCTGAAATTAAAATTTTTGGAAAATTTTCAGTTCCCAGCGCTTTTGTTGGTGTGCTGACCAAATGTTTACTGTAAGAGTTTCCCAAGAAAGAAACTCCCAAGAGTTGGTAACCAGACAGAGATCCTGGCAGGGCAGGAAAAGCACACACACAAACCTCTGCATTTCTCGTACTTTAGTCTTAGACTTCCTGGAGCAACGGCGGCTTCCACGGCTTCAGGAGAAAACAGCAACGTCTGACCACGTCTGAATGAATGCAAATATTAATAGAAACGTCATAGGTGAAAACAGTGTCCTGGTGCTTCTGTTTTGTACTCTGTTACCGGAAAAAGTTAATGGTCAAAGAGTGAACCTTTGTCCAAAGAGGTAAAGATGATGATGAAGGCGGATATAGATGACTTACTTTGCCAATGAGAGACAGAGTGGGAGAGAAGAGGAGAGAAGAGGAGAGCGAGCTGTTGAGTGTCCTATTTCTATCGTCACCTCTGTTTTCCCAGCAGCCCTTCTTCTTCTCAGCTAGAAGAACAGCTAGAGAAGCTCTTCTTCTCAGCTCCTTTCTAGGAGTCCCTCATCACCTTTTCCCTCATTTATTCATGCTCTCTGTCCCATCACTTCCAACGCCTTCCAGTATCCACACAGTCCAGCAGAGCATCTAAAGGGGAGAGGGAGAACATGGGCATCAGCTTCCAGCTCTTCCAGTGCCACCGCTGCCACGCATGGGTGCAACGGCTGTGGGCTTGGTCGGTGCAGCCCTCCCGCAGAGGCCGGGGAGGACTGGTGAAAGGGCAGTGCCCCCTGGGTGGGACTGTGGAGAGGGGTGAGCAGTGCTGCTCAGGAGGTGGTCCGTCTGCCTGTGGACCTGTCAACTCGGCTGTGCAGCAGGTGCTTTGTGGGGTTATTTTAGCATTGTCCCTGTAGGTATTTGTGGTGCTTGGGAACCCCGGTCATGGCCCAGGACTCCGCTGTGGATGGTATCACCCTAACGTGAAACGGACGGCGCTTGCCTCTGCCGGGGCAACCCCCAAACCTCACCAGAACACTTTTTAGGTATGACACCAGCAGGGCCAGCACCCAGAAACACCGTTTTCAGGTTGATTTATGCAGCTCGCGGCTGCGTTGACCATTCGTGTTCTTTGAGACCACGGCACGACCGAGACGGGCAAAA